CAAACCCAAGGAACTGGTGGTTTTGAACCACCTGAGATGGCATATACGCAGGGTACCTCTTTTAAGAATCACTTGGAAATACGTGTATGTCGGTAACTTCCATGTGTGAATAACTATTTTATAATTTCATCAGATATACAGAAATAACTCTCTGAACACTACTTACCATTTGGGACATACTGAAATGCTTCATCTCTTTTTCTCTTTGAAGATACCATATCTGAGCCTTAATTTTCATTTTAAGGAGCTGCTGTACCAACTTAGCAATTATATTAAAAGCAGATGCTTGCAAGAGGCAAGAACCCCCTCAATAAAACAATGACAGCAAACTAAGCCCAGCCTGACTTTGGTAGATTTTTTTTTCTTTTTGTTATTGGCAGAGCTGTCAGTTTAACAAGTCCAATAAGTAATGTGAAGTACTTCAGGCTTCTGAAGGATTTTGGGAATCCTTCAGACCAAGGAGCCACTGCCACTTACCACCAGTTTAGGTGCCAGATTTTCACGACCTAACGTAAGGCACGTATGGGCAAATAGGACAAATAGGCCCACTAGCTCACAGAGATCACTTGGGCCTTCCTCCCATCCCAGCCTTCCTCTTCCTTCCTCCTCTCCCACCCATGCAGCCCAGCCCCTCCTTTTCTTTTGCTTCACTGCTTCTGCCTCTTTGCTGAGCTGATGAGCCCAGCAGAGCAAACTCTACTATCTCATATAATCTGAAATTCAACTGCGTGCCTAACACACATCAGCATCCCTCTGCCTCACGCCTTCTAGGCATGAGTCTCCCGCTCTTTGTTCTTTGCGCAGCAGAGACAGTGCTATCGACTACTGTCAATAGCAGCATGGCCAAACGATGCCTTCTGCACTTGACCAGGGGATGCGCGGGCACAGAAAGCGAGGGAGAAGGGGGCAGAGGGGGCTGTGTCTCCAGCACCAAGCCCCACAGTCCTGGGCACGGGTTCTGTTCGCAGCCAAGGCTCCCCTCAGAGCCAGGCTGGGGGCTGACACTTGCCAGAGCCTGGTTCTAAGTGGGTTCAACCACCACCCCTCGGTTTGGGAAGAGGGGAGGATTCAGCCTTACGGACCTTGCCAATTCGCTCATCCTTGGGCCAGGCAACACACCTGGGCTTGCTTTGTGATTTTTATTGTAGCCGTGTTTCCCAAACCAGGCCTGTGTAAGGCCGCAGCAGGGGGCTGCAGGTGCAAGAGAGAAATTCCCTGGCTGAGACTCGACACCATTCATTCGCGCTGGGATCTAGCTGCCTGCCCAGCCTACCCCCACCTGCCCCACAGCACGCCGTGGGGATCTCCTCTCTGGAGGAAGCACTGGAGGTGCAGTATCCTAAAGACTCATTCATGGAGGAAGAGGATCCATTTTAAGCTCATCTTCCTGCTACTCTCAACTAACTTCTGGAAATGCTAATAAAAGGGATCTCCACTTGGCTTCAGATCAATGGAAAATACACCAAAATGAAGATTTCACAACTACTAACAGGAGGAGGAACACGTTAACTGCTAACACAATGCCAGTAGTCAGTGCTCCACCCCTGCCCTGGGAATCTGAAAAGGCTTCAGTGTCAGAAATGGAAGCCACAGAATAAAAGGCCTGGCCTTTATCTCACTAGAAAATGTTATAAAAACACACCAGGAAACAGCTAATGCTATAAAGAAAAAAAATAACTCTGAGTTGTTTTTAAGATAAATTCATACAGCAAATTCAAGTCTGCCTTAAAGAGAAAGTAACCCCTACTCTGAGAATCTTAGAACAAAAAAAGCATGAGGGGTTTCTTCACTGATTGTTTAGGTTTTTCCTTTTGTTTTCCACTAATGCAAGGATCACAAATAATTGAAAGTAAGACAAGAACAGTTACTGTATTGTAATAGCTAGGAACACAAGGAAGGAATCCATTCAGAGCAGACATCTTTCAGCCATTTCTTACGTGAAGTCTCTTAAAAAGAGGTCTGGAAACAATCCTGTAGACCTTCCAAGTCGGTCTCTCCTCTCTGCTCCCTTGCTTCTAGAAACATGTACTGTTTAGCAACTTGCCCTAAGACTGTGCCATTTTGAGCCAAGTTGGACATGCACACAAACCATATCCTTACTAGAAGCCTTCTGGGCACGGTAAGTGCTCACTCATATCCCATCTTTTTAACAAACTGTAACAAAGCAACACCAAACTCTTTGTCATTCATTTTGAACAGCAGCAACATAACCGCTGTTTATACAGGGGAAGTAATTTCAAAATGCCATTTCAGAGGCCGCAGCCAGCAGGGTGCACAGCGCAGAGGCATGGAAGGGGGCAGAGTAATGGTGAGAGCACAGCAACTGCAGGAGAAAGTGAGGCAGGGAAACTGGGGAACCTCAACTAAGGAAAAAACCCCATGAGGTAACCAAGAAGTAACTTGGGAAATGGTTTTTATGAAAGAGTAGTACTCAGTATTACAGTGCTTATCATTAAACCCTCTCCCCCATCCTCATGACAAATATACTCACTCTCTTCTCTGTATCATTGTTTTCTAAAGAAGGGCAGAAATTGGAAGTTTGTACACGTACACTCCTTTGAAAAAACAGAGATACACTTCAGTGTTTACAATGCATTTGATAGGACAACCACTTTATTACAAAGAACAAACAATGCTTCGAAATAAGACTGATCAACTTGAATTGTACAAAATGTCAGTTTCCTTGTAGAGGTCATTAAGTAACAGGCTGTAAGACTAATAAGTTCACGTCAAATTCGCTATCCTGAAATATCAGATAAACAACAGTAATACTTATTATATCTTCAGAGTTTATGGCATGATCGTGTGCTCTACTCCAAACTACATTCAAAAGATATTGCTATAATTACTTTGAAAACACAAAGTGTAGGTTATTGTTCATTTCCACTTTCACAAGAACATTCTGAAGGTGAAGCTGTAGCAGTGTCTGCCAGAACTGGCATGACTGTCCTATACTTACAGTCACAACTTCCCTAAGGAGTTTAGTAAGCCTAGACATTTCTACAATATGGATGCTGTCATCTGATAGATTTCAGCTTCTGTTACATGTCCCTTAGCAATGTATGAAATAAATGGCTAACACAGATTTTCAAAGAGCCGATGTCAACAGTCTTCCAAACAAATTTAAAAATCAAACAATCGATATTTGTCTGATACCTAGTTGATAGGCAAACAGGTGGGATTTAGACATTATAAATACAGTTCTAAAAACAGACCACAAAGTGTATTTTACAGCGTGTACCACAATTTCATTTTAAAGTAAAACTGTGAGGAATTGAAGATTTGCATATGATCACTATTCAACGTCACCCAACTTGGACAAAGAAGAGAAAGTGACATCTTATGTCAAGTCAGCTGAGGAAAGCACACTTACAAGGAAATTATACCTTCACTGAAAATGCCACAGTTTTACCCTTTGGTAGTTGTGACATACCCACTGAAAAAGAAATTGTGCAAAGCATGTGAAACCAAGTGCAAAAAAACTCCACCCAGACATACCCAACAGATTTTATTCTTAAATAACAACTCTACAATCACAGCTATCAACCAACAAAATCAAAGCCACAAGTGTTTTCTCTAAAGGCTTCTTTCACAGTACTAATAAGAAAAACCAAGTTCTATTTTTCTAGTTAACAGTTCATGTGTACGGTATTTTAGTTATCAGACAGTATTGGTAGTGAGACCATACCTGATGAAATGGACCATTAAAACACAAATACTTTAAAGCCAGTTAACTTCAGGAAAAGTCCTATACATTCATACTATAAACACTGTTTAAAGTGAATCTGGGACATCTGTCACTGTCATAAACACAAGATTTGTCACTGGAGTACAACCACGTGTAGTACTCCTGTGCCACGATTAACACTATTATAGCGATTTATGGTCCCCAGTACTTTTCATATGCTATTATAGCATGTGATGTGTTGCGATAATTAAGGCTGTATCAGCACTTCCATTATAACCCTGATTTTCAGGGTAGCTAAAACTTGGCTATTAAATCTGCTCTGGAATACTTGAGCTGTTAAATCTCTAGTATTTTAGTGATACTTCTCCCATCAAACCAGGCACATAATTTCTTTTAGTTTATCTATTTACAAACGCTCTTAAGACAAATTTAACTGGCAGAGGCAAGAAATTCTACCTTGATGTACAGTCTTTTGGCATTTGGGGCAAAATTAAAGTGCAAAGTATAAACTTCATTGCACAGTAAATAATTTAGATTTTATTTTAAAATAAATCTTATTTAGGTGCCTCAATCTATTTATCTAGTGACCTTGTCCAACTCAGCCATTTTCCTCTACACTTTGGTAAACATAGGTTTATATATAGATACATAAATAGCATTTAAAATGTTTACCTTTATTTCACTACTGTGAACAATTTTTTTCTTTTAGCATAGGAAAGGATCAACCTATTCCTAGAAGTAATGCTTGTTGAATTTATCAGCTAGCTAGTTAATGTAAAATGATGCATAGTCAAAGGGAGATACTGGACTTGATTGGTAGAATATACTGGTAAAGCAAACAAGCACTTAAGAAGATTAACTGGAATAAATATGTTGAAAGTTGCCATATAATATGTGCAAAATTGCTTACCATGTATTCTAAACTTTGGTTAAAATTTTCAGATTGAAGTTTTACAGAAACATTATGGAAGCAACACAAGTGATTACAAACACAGGAATGAGGTAAGTTATTATTAGTGCAAAAAGCAAGCATATGCTAAAAGCAAAGCATATGGATTTAAAAAAAAAAGAGAATGAATCTCATGGAAGTTTTAATATGAGACCAGAAAGGTCTCTTGTAAACATTGGTATTTACAAGTTTAAGATTTGTACAACTACAAAAGGCTAATTCTAAATATTAGTAGTGCATTTACAATGAATTTACTTTTTTTGTAATAAGAGAAATGACTATGTTTATCTTTTTCCTTTTAAATCTTCAGGGGATATCTTTCAAGATTAAGATATTTGTTACAAATAGTAGAAAAATCATTTCTTTACAAAAAAAGTATATATTAAAATATTTATACATTTTAAGTTACTATATAATCACTGGAAATTTTTGCCTTGTACTCAGGCACCACAATGAAGAATGTGGTATAAGGAACTGAAACCAAACAGAATTTGCTGATATACCAAATATTATGAATTATCTATGCAAGATCTGTAGCAATCATGGGGACTCTACCTCAAATACTACTGCATGTGCTAATTTTTTATTTATTTATTTTTAATTTGAAACTGTGTTATTTTTGACATTTTAACTATCGCTACCAAAAAGAGCTACTGGACAGAGTATGGTCCTCCACCCCACCATCTTCAATATAGTTCTATATGGCACTCACACCTGAGCAAGGCTGTATAACGCTGATGTTTCAAACGTAAAAAAGGTTATATATTTTTTAAGATAAAAACAATGCAAAAATAAAATATTTGTAGCATTTACAAATAGTACAAGAATTACATTAAACACTACATTCAAAATGTGAGATTATGTTGTTTCTACTTTGAGCTTGACGTTTTCATATCTGCAAAAAGAAGGAGACATTGTTAAACGTTTCATAATTTCACATCGTGTACATGGTCAAACACTTTCGAACAACTACTGTTTCCGAGTTCTGGGATACAGCTCATAGTCAATATCCTTGCCAATTAAAGGGTTAAAACAGCATCGGAATAGTAAATGTTAGGGAAGACAACTTCTTCATTGTTGCTCCTCATCTTAGAAAAACACTTTAAAAACCAAGCAGCTGTATTCAACAGTTTGCTTTCAACCACACCCTGTGGATCCCAGCCCACAAACTGAGAGGTCAGCTAAACCCAGCCAACGGTTCACTGCTCCCCGCAGGGGTGGGCACACTCCTCTCGCCCTGTCCTTCCTAACCTTCCACCTGCTCACAGGACCTCTTGCTGAGCAAAGCCAGCTCCCAACGAGCAGAAAGCTAAGCCGGGAAGGGGGAGGAGTGGGATGAGAGGAGAAGTCAGCAAAACATCTTGTTTTGAGCCCCTGGATTGGCTTACTTAAAAGATGAGCCAGAACTGCTCAGGCTAAAAAATAATCTTTATTCCCATCCTCAACTCATCATGAGCCTGTAAAAATTCAAGCGCGGGGACAAGAGGACAAAACCTGTTCTAGCATAACAGAGACTTTAAAGTGTATATGTGACACAAAAATGCACCTTACGAAAAATTTTTCTAATAAGGAGGGGGAAAAGAATGGAAAAAAAAAACAAAACAAAACAAACCAACTCATTACACCCATGCATGTAACTGGATTACTTCTTATTAGAATGAAAAACTTCTGAGCTGAAGCAAAGCCCAAGGAAATCAGAAGCTTACTAGGCTTTTATTATTTGAGGGACTGGATAAGACTCAATAACCAACACTTCAGTACTTGCTTGTCTTTGCTTGTGAACAAATACAAAAATTTTTTTTTAAATGTTATGCCAAATTCAACAACGAAGTTTTCTTAAAACTTCTCTAAGGAACAAAACAACATTTCAAGAACTTCACATGCACTGCCAAGAAAAGTGTTGGTTCTAGAGACACAGTACGCCATTTTCTCCGCCACAGCTACAGCCCAGTTAAATGCTGCACCTGACCCTGACTTTACCTTGAAGCCATCGAACTTGTGTGGCTGGTCCATATCCTCTCTCATTCTTTGCAGAAATTCTGAACACTATAGCAGGTCGGGAAGTGTAATCAACATGAGCATTTGAAAGCTGGGCAGTAGTCACTATACACGATGTTTTAAGACCACAGTATATTCTCATAAATACAAGCTGACTTGGATTTTCCTGTAATTGTGTGGAACGGATTGCTAAGTATGCAGAATATTCTAAAATATTTCCAGAGGGTGAAGCAGGAGGCTCCCAAGAAAGATGAATACAGTCTACACTCTGAAGAAAAAGGGAGAAAATATGATAGTATATAGGTAACCATTAGATGCTTGAATATACATATAAAAAATATAAAAATACCAAAAAAAAAATCTAAATACCATCTGAAAATTCTAACCTAACATCATCAGTCTTTGGAGGTAAGGATGTGTCTTTTGACTTTTTTTTTTTTTTAAAGCACGGTAAACTCCTATAGATTTAAGGATGCAGAAAGGCAAAATCATGGGGAAGCTATCAGATGACTGTGTATCTGGTAACGTAACGATTAAGTCTTAAAATAATTCTTTATATCAAATTTTTTAAAGAATATTACATTAGGCAGAATTAACCAAGTAAGCATTTGACACTATTTTATATGACAATTTTAACTTGAAAAAAACCACAACAAACCAATGAAAACCAAGAGTTTTGATATTAAGCTTGTGACCAGAATTTTATACATCAGAACTAGAATTAGCTATATTTCTCACCTTGGTGATTTTGACTGTTGAAGGAGCTCCAGGAAAACCTGGAATGCAAGTCTTGAATTCACTGATTTTACTGAAAGGCCCAACACCACAGCCATTAATTGCAGCAACTCTGAACCTGTACACTGTGCCTGGAAAAAGATCCTGTTTCTTAAGTAATCTGTAGTCTGGTACATTTGCACTTTCCATCTGAAAATAAAGCAACATTTGTGTTAATTTTTAAAATACTCTAAACAAAATTAGCCTAAAAAAAAAAAAAGGGTAGCGATAAACTGAGGTTAATAAGTTTAATTGAAACTGAAAATCTAATACTTTTGTACTTAAATCAGAATTTTCAAAAAGGTTCTGACTGAGGCACTAGCTCACCTCTAAACAGGTGATCTAAGATGCCGTATGAGACTACATCTCTAACCAAAAAACCGCCCCCCATTTTTCAGTCATTTAAATTGAACTGCAGCTCTTGGTTATTTTTACTCGGAAAAGTAAAAGCAAAGTAGCATTTCCAATTGTACAGCTCATGATTTAATTAGCATTCTCTTCTGTCCTAAAAAATATGTTTCTTTCAAAACCAGTTATTCCTATAGTTATGAGTTACAATTTGATGCACAGGTAATCAAAATGTTTTTAAAGAAAAGCACTGTAAGTTAGTAACAAATGGGTTTCTGAAACATTATGTGTTACTATACTTCCACGTTTAAAATACGCATTGATGCATCATTGAAACTCCCAATGGAACTATTTTCCTTCTGAATAATGTATAAGAAATCACAGTCAATGTAAACACTGCAAAACATACTACGCTCTTTAAAACTAAGATATGCAATATTTATAGTGAAGTGCTTTCAAAGAAAGTGTTCTGTTCTTTTGTTTCTGTCTCAAGAAAACATATACCCATTGTTTTTGTTTCTAGTTTGCTAGGACATCATTAATTTACACTTTCACCATCAAAACCGCAACATTTTTGCAAGTTTCACAGGTATAGCATTTTCATATATAAACTTACATATGCAACAACAATAACTTGGAGAAATCTAATACAAAACCCACTACAGTTCTGTATCTAGTCTTTTTAAACAGCCTAGCGTATGTCTTACTAGTATCTTTAACAATTTATAAGCAAAGATTCTGGAAACAGAGAAGAAATGTTGATCAAAACATTTCAATGCTATACTGAAATAACATATTAAAAAGTTGTGGATTTTTTAGTTTTTAAGAATTTTTATTGGTTTGAAAGTTCACCAAGTTTAAAATTCTCCCTAAGGCTAGAAATAGAAATACAGAAAGAATTAGCAATAGCACAGTAAGACGTTCTATATTATCACACAAAAACAACAGAAGAAAATTTATCTGGTTTAGGAAATAGTATGAAAAGGTGAGCAAAATACACAAGGAACTACTGGTCACAAAATACAAAACTTCTATAAGCACCAGATCCTGTTGCAGTATCACAAAATCTCACATTTTGTTGTCAACCGAATGAGCAACAGATTCCAAAAGACATATGCACAAGTTATGTCAGAGAAGAACTAGCAGCTACCTTGTTAGAGATGCTCAGTGTTTCCTCTGGCAGCAAGTAGAACTGGCTCACCACAGCACTGTTGTTCTTAAAAATTCCGACGTCGTACCACTGCCGGTCTTTTGTTTTCACCGGTGCCATCTGTCTTTGTGGAGTTTTCTAGTATTTGAAGAACACGTTATGCAGACTACCCACACTTCAATGTAATATAAAAAAAACATTAAGACTCTAGTATATGTAAGAGACAACTCCCTTTTATACCGGTGTTACTTTCTTATACTTCAAATGAATATGCATGTATTATTAAAATACTGTTCAAAACCAACTGGTTATTATACACTGACTCAGACACAGTCCATCATTTAAAAAAAAAAACAACAAAACAAACACTTGGGATGTCACTGAAGACATTCTAGTTTAAACAGGGAGGGGAAGAAGTTTAAAGCTGTAGAACTAGGTGTCTGTAGCAGCATGTAGTTGTGAGTTAATTTCGCTCAGAGGTCAAGAAGTTCCACAAAACGGTCTGACATCGGTAGCTCTACCTGGGATTCAGCCATCCCTCAGCCCCAAACACACTCTCTTTCAAGCTGCTGCTGAATTCACTTCCAGCTGAGAACAGGGCCTCTGCTGTGGCACGGGGCGATGGCAGATGAGGGCATGGGACCTGTTCCTGATTGACCCAGAAAGACAAACCGTCTTTCTTGCTTGTCTCCAGGCACCAGGGAGGGTGCTTGCATAGTGAGCATGCCCAGCACAGATAGGCCATGATCCTGCTAGCATGGAAAAGGGGCAGGAGTGGCAGCTGCTCTTGGCAAAAGCACCCCAATCCTTTAGTAGCAGCTGCTTCTTCCCATCCTTAGTTCCTCTCTTTTGGTGGCAACAGTGGCACCTTGATTTTGTGTATTAAGTTGTAAGCAGGTGAAATAGGAAGCATTTACTTTTTCAGGCAGTATTTACAGCTTGCATAGCCAGTCCCCATCTCCTCTAGGGAAAAACATCAAGATGTCAGTTTAGTTATGTTACAAACCTATAGATCAGCAGCTAACACTAGTCTGATCTAATACATACTTAATTTTAAATTCAGTTGTGCATACAGAAAAACATTTTACATTTGCACATCATGCAGCAGAGAGACCATTCCACTGTGCCAATCGAGAAAAATGATTCAACAGCTGAAACACATACTTGGATCTCCTCCCAACTACACAACTGCTACTTAGACTCAAATCAAACCCACACAATGCAATTAGTTTTACAACAGAAATGTTTACCCCTGTATTATTCACTTCAAACCCTAAATATACATTGCTTTTCTTTCAGAGATATAATTAAAACAGAAGAGCCCTTACAACTAATCAACAGAACAATAAATAACAGCAACTTCATTATACTTTTTCAGACTTACAGAGGAGTGTGAATCATTTGTCTGTCCAGTATTGACCCTTGTCGAAGGCATGAAATAAGCAGTTTCAGCAGCTAGAAACAAAAAGTTATATTTAAAAAGCTTAAGTGATACGAAAAATTTAACACAAAGTCCATAGAGTATGAAAGTTGACCTCAGCAGCCATTTACAAGTACTTGTTGCAAAAGTATGTCTCAGACTTCTTTTGCATGCGTTTCTATTTATAACACAAACAACTACTTTTGGCTTGCATCATATTCACAGAACAATCCTAAGAGCCTGGCATTGCAGGCTGCTACAGATAATACAAACAGAAGGCAAGACTCAGAAAACCCTAAAAAGTGACAGAATTATGAAATCAATATAAAATATTTGTGAACAAATAATCTAAATACCAGATTGAGGCACATACTGATGACACTGTATGAATAGTCTAAGCATGAAATCTTAATTCGAATGCACTGTTTCTGACATCAATACAGTCTGAATCCTGAACATGAGCAGTTAATCTTTAAACAATCCTAACAAATGGGAAAAGAACATTTATTACATTTAAAATGGAATCTTAAAAAAAGAGAAATCAAAGCACATAAGCATATGAGCAACACAAGGGAATATTAGTATTCTATACTTGTGTTTCTGGGTTTTGCTTTTAAAATACAATACTGTTTGGTAAAAATCACACTACTCATACAGTGTCAATAAGAGAATACAGTTCTTTAGTTAACACTCAAAACAATAGCAAGCACAGCCTGTTGATATTCACGAAAAACAGAACTTGAAAAACTACCAATATGTTTCATTTCTGCATCGCTGCTTACTTCAGATATTTCAAGCAGACTGTGAAGAGGTCACCACATTTGACTAGTGGTGAGCTAGCCACATGAACTTGCCATATCTCTTACAGAGGTCAACAGTTTAAAATCAAAATCATCTAAGGTTACTATTTGTAGCCTTTTGCTGACTAAATAAACAGACAATCACCTGATGAAAGCAAATGCACTATGGGCACCAAAACGGGCTGCCACTGCTATTTAGAAAATGGGCTACTGCATAAATGAAGATTTAAAAGACTTTCCACTTAAAAGAAACAAAGTGGCTTACAAACATATAAAAGGAATATCCTGATTAAAAGATGTTTAAATCATAGCAGAGATCATCCAGGCTGCCCAAGGTCCTCAATGCCCAAAGCCCTCTCTCAATCCTAGGTACTAGTCAAGATGGGAATCCCACCACACTAGAGGAACTCTGATGGCCTTAGATATATATGGCTCAAAATACAGTATGTGAAACACATTTCAAACCTTCAGATTTTGAATTGAATGTTGTTAGTGAAGTTTCATCTTTAACAACTGCCCCATTTGTACTTGATGATTCAGTTTTAACAGCCTGCTGGGTTACCATAGTTTGTGTGCTGGAGACAGTACTGGATACAGAAGCATCAGGATTTACAGATTGTTTGTCCAAGTCATGTAATTCACCTACATTTGCTGAAGTCTGAGGACCTTAAACAAAAGAAAATATTAACCAGAATTCAATATTGATAACAGCTAACAAATCTCAACTTGATCTAATGGTTTTAGCTTCATATAAAACCAGAGTTTAGCTCATATTTAGGTTAGAATAGATCTGATCATATTAATTGCTAATGCTTTCTTTAGGTATGTAACTTCACAAGAGTCTGTCTGCACAGTCATAAACAAATATATGCAAACAGTTATATTTAAACTGCGATTTCATTTGTTTTAAGCTTGCTATTCTATATCTATTTGGTTATGAAAGGATTACTTTGGGAAAAAATCCTAATATAAAGTATCCACACAAATCAGTATCACAGATTTATACAATCAACTTAAGATTAACCACTGTGGAAGTCTGTTTCGCAGTTAGCACTAAGATCCAAAATTTCCATACTATACTTAAATTACACTGTGAAGAAAATGAAAATCCAACAACCTATAAATCACATGAAAGTCACATATATCAGGTCACTGAGCCTGGATTCACCACACTGAACTTAAAGCACTTCAGTGAAATGCCTAAATCAGTGCCTAGTCATCTTCTAGTTCTTCTACAGTTAGAGAAACATGCTCCTCTCTACGTTGCCTAAAATTTTACATTGGCTAATAGGTTTTCACTATTAACAGACAGAAGTAGTGTCAAAGAAAGCCTGGAGTTACTATCAGCTAAGTGTGGTAAAATGAATCTGACCCTGTCAGTCTGTTCTTTGATGTTAAAAATGGCTATTTATGTTTAAAGAGACACATTTGCCATCATAATAATGAATATACTGAGAATTTCATGTCCCTTGCAACACTTCAAACTACTTTTCATTTTTCCTCATATCTTCTAAAAATATGTACAGTAATAACTAGAAAAAAACAACTTGTGCTAAACTGCAAAGGCATCTAAAATAGTTTTAAATTGCAAGACATAAATAATCTTATTTTATGTTTATGAGATTAATTTTAACTCTTTTTTATTAATTTTTATTCTACTGTCATCTTACTTGAAGTACAAACAGGCAAAAGAGGAGGGGCATTTGATTCTTTGAATCCTGTAGCATCTGCATGGTTTTTCATAGTCTCCTGTGTAATCTTGTTTTCAGGTGCTGCAACCTTTTCTTTTCCTTCTACTTTTAATAATGAGTTGGATGAAAGGGAAACTTGGACCTAACCAAAACAACACATTTGTTAATGTTTAACTGCAAGTTCAGAAATTTCAGTTGCAAACATGGCATGAAAATGCTTGCTTGAAAACAACGAACAAAAAGCTTCCAACAAATCCCCCTAGCACTTTAAATTAAAACAAAAACCCAACCTCACAATCCACCTTATCTTAGCCATTATAAAACAAAGACTGAAACTCTAAGTTGATTTGGAAGCGTCCCTGACAAAAACTGAATTTTATCTGAGAGTGAGCTCACATTCTTATGTTATTACATGGAAGTTCATTGACGCTTACATTCAGTCTATTGGGCGGACTTGAGGGGATGGGAAAAATCACAGAGAGGCTTTCAACCTTTGTTTTCCTGGCACATACCTAAGATATTTCTACTATTAGTAAAATTTATATTACTTCTACATGTGTTTTCTTCTACAAGAATACATTAGGAATCCCACACAGACCTGAGGCCTTAAATGATTAAGAAAAGGTCTAAATTTCTAAAAACGTGATCCTTTAGCCAAAGTTTGACCTCCATCTTTTTTTTAAACTGGCAGAACAGTGAAACATGTACAACTGCACAACCAGAATAGATAATAATTGGGTTGTCGTGGTTTAACATGTGTTTTGGCAGTTCTCTTGCTTCCCACACTACTTTGCCACTTAGGCATTTTTCAGTTTACACTTACGTTATTAGGAATGACATTATTTGTTTGGCTGGGATGATCCACCTTCATTTCTGGATAAGGGACACTAGGTAATGACTGTGGACTTTGATGTAGAGAAGATCCACCTTTCAGGTAAACAAAAGCAAATTCCAATCAGTTACTTAAAACTTCGTATTATGTAAGTTGAAATCTATTCCAGTAAGCAAGAGGGAGATCCGAAGCTGCCTGAAGGAAGATTTGGTCGTAAGACTGAAATGAAACTGCATGGCCAGTCAGATAAAAACCCTTCCTCACTGTTTCCTTTCTCAAATCTTGCCCAACACTGTACAAATCTCTTCATATTCAGACAGCTGGCCAAAACTGACAGAGACAAGTTAGAGACGAGTTTTCCATAATTATGACGCATGCATTTTGGGAATAACCAAAGAAATAGGGTCTCTCTCAAAATGATTTTTTAAAAAACAGACTCATATTAATTACTTATGCAATCCTCTGCTCTACCTTTGTACAAACATTAGCGTAATGTGATCTGACTACTACCTTGTGAACTCAGCACTGATGTCTCGGGAACCCCAGTACCAGGTATTCCAGCCACTGATGGCACTGGTGAGTCAGCTTGTAATTGAAGAAGGTATCCTTCAACTGTAGGTACTTCATCCCATTTCACTTGAAAAGAGTTGGTTGTAGCTCTAATCAGCTGTACCTGTGATGGTGCTGGAGGTTTCTCTACAAGGAACCAAGAAAACACAGATGGTATGCTTGGAATTGCCCTCCTTTATCAGTTTAAGAAGTATCTATATAATACAAGCAAAATCAATAGCTCCTTGGTCTCTTATGTACAATATACACCAGATTCAACAACAGTTGTCAAAGGTGGCAAGTCAAGTCAGAGCATTATAAAGTGCCATTCCAGAGTGTTCAAAAATGCTGAAGTTTTCATGCTTTATTTTTTAATGGCTCTTCTGCTGCCAGTAAGTCTTTGGGTTGTATATACATCATGACAGGGATTACAGAGATAAGAGATCCTTGTCCTTTCCTAAAAGGCTGCATGCAGCTCTTTGGCTCCAGAAGCTTTACGTATTCCTGGAAATGATTCACAGATGACTGCACTTCCTTTTTGCTTGCTCCCTGTAGTTAAAGTGAGCCTTCCCTCAAACTTCTTTTGCAGAGGCTGAAGCCTAGGCATGATTCAATGCCAATGATCTGTTCCTCTCACTTGCCTTGATGCCTGACTAGGCTGCACTCTCAAGCATATCCCTCCCTTGCTACGCTTTTTCATCTTCTGACCTTCCTGAGGGGAGAAAAAAAAGAAGGAAACACGACCTCCTAAAAGTTTCACAATCTCCAGTAACCGTTCTCATGCATTCGCTTGAGCAGGCAACAACTCCCTCCAAAAAGTACTATCCTAGTTCCCTCTCTCTCCCAATATCACCCAGCTACTAATGAGTGATTAGTGCTCCAGAATTCCCTTCAGCTCCAGGGAACAATTTGGTCCTTTCTCAGATTTGACAGTATCTTTTTGCAGCCCAAGAGATGAGGAAGCAACAGCAGCAATGATCCCAAGAGAAGGAAGGGTATGGTAAAAAAGAGTAAGTAGCAGCAGAAAAGATCACTAAGAAGAGAGGCCAGCAACCTTGAGTTTAGGTAAAACACTCTTCAGCATCTTGTATCTACTGACTATGGCATGCAATGCAGAATCTAGCCAGAACTTCCAAAGTTCTTCTAGGGGTTTTAAGCAAGCCTTCCTAATTTTTTTCAGTTTAAGTTATAGCTGTAGTCTTCAAAATCACAGTGAAGCGTAGTTTATTTAACTAAGCTTTACAATTTAAATAATCTTTTAAGTTTGCTACAGCTTTAGATGTTCTGATCATCAACGATGCCAGCTTCCCATATGTTAATAAAATACGGAACACAGGACAAGTCTCTTACTTATTTCTGACTCACCAGTATCAAGGTACCAAAGATCTTTGCAGCAAACTTGATTGTTCCAAGCTTTTCTGTAACCATCTCTACCACTCCAGATATACAGACGAGTGCCAACTGCTACAGCACAGTGTCCTGCTCTTGGCCCTGGTAACAAGTTACTTTTGTCCTCCTGGCAATCTGAGATCAGACCTATCCATTCTGTGGTATCTAGTAAATGAAACTCAAAAAATTTAGTTTCTTGATGTTTTCCAAAACAAGCAATACAGATGTTAATACACTTAACTGCTTAGAGAAAATGAAAATAAACCACCTCTGTTTTTATAGACAATTGCATTTAAATTTGCAGTATTACAAAGAGAAAGTCACTTTCCAATTAGCTTCCAAGATACGATCAATTAATACAGGATTAATTTTCTGACCTCTGGTTGTCTCTCTCAGGTAATATAAGACCAGAAGTTGAGGATTCAGGGATAGTACTATCACATTTAGAAAAAACTCATTTCAGGATCTGTCTCTTGTGCTCTTCTATAAATGAAGAAGGAGTATTTATATTACTTAGTATTAAAGTAGCATTAACAAAGATTCACAGCAGCAAACCTGCTGAATGTTCCAAGAAAAGAAGTGATTTTTTTATTATTGTTGTTTAAGAAAGATGTAAAAAACTGGCATCTTCTTTAGTCAGCTAGGATTACAACTGTGTATCCTAAAACTTTTCTCAGGGTCTTCAAAATCTTTATTCTACCCTTGTTAAGAAAGTATTAATTCAAAATGCCCGCTCCCAAAAAGGCAGAAACACTAACCCAAATTAAGATAAGAAAATGAACCGGTACATTTCCATTCACCATCACGAGCAGAAATTTCACCTCCTGCTGACTGTGGAACCCATCCACCAAAAACATACATTCTGAAATACAGGAAAAGAGGGAAGAGGGAAAAAGAAAAGAAAAGCCAATTAACATCCAGATCTGCTGCATGTGCTCTCTCAAAGTAGGACAAAACAGACAATTTCCAGTGCTTTACAGTTCTGGTTTACAGCAGATTTTATTTGCATCTACTCTCTTTAGAAAGTATTGTTGCAGATGTCTACCTTCTGAAATTTTTAGGTAAGTTAACTGATTTTAAAAAAACAAACAAAAAAACCCCAAACTCCTCAAACAACTTCCAGAAACAGGAGTTAATACTGTATCTTTTTACAAACCACCAAACTGCTAATACTCTCCAAAAATCACATATTTACACAGAATTTCTATAACCCTTTACTGCAGACCTCTCAACAAACCATTCTAAAATTAGAAGACCAGTATCTAAGTCAGGTATCAAAATTTAAAAACACAATGCAGGCTACAAACCACTAACATTTTAAGTAAATAATAAAAAGCTAAGCTGTTGGATCATAAGATACAAACCTTTCACACTTCTTTCCCCGCTTGCCTCTTTCTCCTCATACCAGCTTGTAAACTGATATAAAATGGACTGAAACCCATGTTTAAAAGTCCATTTTATCGATGCTATCTGCCAAAACAAACCATATTGGCAAGAAGCAAAGTAATGAGGAACAGACTACAGAAAAACTGACCCACAAAAATGTGGAATGGTTTTGCCTAGAACTAGTTCTACTCTTTGGGCAGCTTCTTTGCGTAGCTAGTTCACTGTGTCACAGACACAGAGGCACTCGAGTCGGCTCCTGACAGAGCCAGCTCAGGTCCAGCTGAGATGGCCACAGAGTGCACAAAGGTGCATTAAGAAGCATGGAAAGCCGCTTATGGGTTGGGCAGATTGTCCTGCTGGGTGGAAACACTGACAGTTTGATACCCTTCAATTAACAACAGTACTTTTTCATTTCCACTGAGGCAGAATAACAGAAGCAGCAAAGTACTCTACAGGGCTCATGGTTTATACTGAGCAGTAGTGGATAAGCATCATCATTCTCCTACTAGGTGTACCTTTCTAGAGTTGAGCTTTTAACAACAGACATACTTGTTTCCTATTACATTGGCCGTATGGAGACTGCGAGGAAGTGGTACTGTCCCTTTAGTTTCTGGTCTTGACCAGGTCATGGTTTCTAAAAGAAAAAGAATAAAACCCTTCAAAAAACTTGTTACTGTATATTTCACTACCTGGATTTTAGGAGGGAACATACCTCTAACATTCAACAAAACAAAATTTCACCTTTTTAATATGGCCACTTTAAGAAAGAAGGCACAATAACAAGCACTTAAAACTTCTTTTAAAATTCACAGGAAATACTGACAAACTAATTGTTTATCAGTTTATCAAAAAGATATATTATGGTTTCATTATGGTTATTCAACATGGTTATCATCATGACAGTCTTTAAAGCCCTCTAAGGAAACAATCTCACAGTTCAACCAAAATCAGTAAGGATAATATATGCAAACAATGCTGTATCTATTTAATTCCAAAAATTACAAAAGGTTAACGCTGTGGTATAAGTCCCAATAATATCTGCACCACATCACAACATTAATCATTATATACTATAACTTTTCTTCTTAGCCAGTAAGGCCCCTGCACTGACTTCTACTGGCAAATCAACTCACCTATGTCAAGTTCCCAGAGATCATTAAGCCGACAGCCACACATCCCTCCAAAAATATACATCTTTGGACTTCCCAAATCTTTTCTGCAGTATACGATGGCTGTGTGAGATTCTCGGGGAGATGGCAAGATCCCTTTGGTCACAGGAATACTCCAGCCGACAACGCCAGAACCGTGTTGCAGCTCCAGTTCATAGAAATCATTTAAATATCTAGGGTATTATTGTCAAAGCATGGAAAATTCACTTAGAAGCAAGATTACAAGTGAGCTTTAAACCCTGACCACTTCCAAGTATTCTTCTGTCTTGGGAGAGTGCAGAATTTTAAAATCTCAAAACATTTGATGCCATTGTGGACAGTACCAAAACTAAATGGATTTAAAACAAAAAAATGAACTATTATAACTTGTTGCCTCTAAGGAAACACACTTTCATATCATACTTGATACACCATATTACATGAAAGAAATACTCAACATTGGTAAACAAAATTCTTGGCAGAAATTACTACATATGGACAAATTTGGAATAAACAGCAAATGACGTGGGACATTAGAGATTAATTTTGGCCACTCTAAGGCAACAAAGGTGACAAGAAGCTGTTTCTTTTCTGATGTCTTCAGGCTGGCCAACAGAGAAGTAGCCATTTGTTGCTGAATCTATTGGTAAGTTATTTTTAGATAATGGTCTTTGAATCTTGGCATTCACACCAGGTACCTCTTGTTTACTGAGCTTAAGATTGCCAGTTTGTAGTTCAGTGGATATAAGCACTCTGAACTGCAGGCAAATGGGGATATAAAACTTCAGCATTATAGCACTGTTTGTCAATAATAAAGGTAACTTCAGCTGTTACTTTAAAAAATTTCCAGATGAATTCATAACTATTTTCCACAGCATTATAGAGGAAACTACTATTGTGAATTCCCTGATGACTCATGAGACTTTGCTGATTTAAGCAATTCTAACAAACAAACCATTCTTAAAAATGTCACCCAAATACTAGGAAAAATACCAAAGTCTACTCAGGTTTCCCTCCAAAAGTGTCAGAGCTGTCAGTCAGTGTTACCTATTGTAGGATTAGCAGAGAAATATTTAAGCTTCTTAGCATGTAACCCCTTCACTGCACACATAATCCAAATGTGACTACTTGGTATGCAGGACACCCTCCCTAGAATGCTCGTCTTCAAAGTTGTCCTGTCTAGTAATTTATTTTTAAAGACACTGAATTCAAACCAAATCAGCATACCTGGGAACGTTATTATTTGAATCCTCACTTTCATTTGCCAGGCCACCAAATAAATAGCACTTGTTACCATATAAAGAAAAGCTGTGGCCAAGTCGAGGACAAGGTGGTAATCCAGTAGAAGGAGCTTGAGGTTTTACTTTTTTCCAGAGCCATCGACTTGCCTTAAAGACAAGAAAAACATATTCAGAAACATCTTCATTTATAGTTGTTCATAGTCAACAGAATTCAGATAACATTAACACTCATATATTTTCTGAATTATTCCTAAGGGAATGCCAGGCTTTTCTTAGGATACACATTAAAAAGGACACATAAGAGCTAACCTTCATAAAACATTAAATATTTTACACTTTATTTAGACCAGATGGAAGTCTCTTTTTCAAAGTTATTTAGATTTTCTCCATCTTCACAATCTATTTAAAGACACTATTCTTCCTGGAGCACAGCAAAGCTCATCTAACTTTCCTCTGCAGTTGGTAACAGGAAATATGTTTGTTCATAAATAGATAAATAAAGTAGTCCTCAAAACTGAAACATCTTCATACATTTCCTACCTGCAATTCATATAAATCATTACTGTATCTTCCATATTCAACCATTCCTCCAAAAACTAGTATTCTGGTACCATCACAAACAAATCCATGCGCTGCACAGCCTGGAGGAATATCTCCCCTTACAGCAGGAAGGAACCACTGATTTGTAACTATAGTAGAGAAAAAAAAAATAAATTCAAACACCAAGAAGGAAAGTGTATTTTTAAACACTTCTGCTTTCTAAAGAATTACCTTTTACCTGTAGATAACTGTGAATGGGCTGTTTGTTTAACACTAAGTTGTTTCAATTGAATTAAGACTTTTTTTTAATAAAAAGAAAAGCAAGTACATCTATCAAACCAATGTTACTCAATATATGAATGAGCACATGAGGTCACTGTAACTCAGTCAGTTACCCAGGATCACCCAGCAATTTAATGGACTTGCCAACAAAAGAGGCTAATAAGGAACATAAGTGCAATTCCACGAGAGAGTTAACTATGCTAACTCAGAGGGAGCTAGCCCTAGAAACAGAATTATTAGAGCTACAGTCATGGCATTGTGCCTGGACTTAAGAGCCCTATTGAAAAACTAATTACACTGTTCTAGGACCCATGTTAGTATCTACAGAGCACTGCACTGATACATGGGAGAGGAGAGCACAGAGGCAAGAGCGAGCAAATGAGACTGCCTGATCCAACAGCAGCATATTGGTGTTTAAACTGTTCTGGAATTAAAGAATTACAGGAGATACGGTCTTCTTTTTCCTAAGCTTTTTTTCATGAGCACGAAAAGGAAAAGCATGAAATTGGAAGCTTCCAGTGAATGTTGCTGCAGGGGATTAAGATGCCTTCACTGTGTGCCAGCTCCTCGGAAGTCATCACAACATAGCAAGAGCGATCAATGACATCTCAAACTCAGGCAACTCAGGTCACAACCCTGCATCTTAGCACCCAGAGAAAAAAAGGTCGATTTGGGCCAAACACTCATCTGGGAACTGAAACTACTGAGTCGTGACCCTTTTTGTCACTGCCACAAAGGGGAAACACCTTTAGCAGAAACTCTGGGCAGAAAAATTAAAAAAGTGATCTTAAGACTCACTCAAAAGGCACCCATCAGAACCTCTGTTCTGATAGACAGTATAACTATCTCAGAGCTTTCTTTAGATTACTCATCAAAACAGAAAGGTTAAGAGATTCTTTTCTCTTCCCCAAAAAATGTGATTGAGTACAGCACATCTTTAAGCTACCATGAAAAAATCCACTTGGAAGAACTCTAACAGTAAGCATCTTCCTCTTAATAAACTACCTCCAGGACACATTTGTGCTCACAGATTTTACCTCAAAAATACCATCACCTTTTTTTTTTTTTTTTTTTGGGGGGAGGGGGATGTCACAATAAGAATAATTTCCGAATGATTCTTAAAAGTTAGCAAGTTAAAAGGCTAGTTCACATGCTCTCACTTTCATGCTTTTGGTATGTTACACAACCAGCCAACACCAGCTGAGACGCACAGATCAGTCAACTAACTTTCCCATCTCAGCCCAAACTCTGAAATTACACAAAAGTTTTCCAGCCTCAATACAGCATCCCGTACAGTAGCCATTTAGGCATCTAATCTTTCACGAATAAAATCGGTTTGGGGCAGCTTCCTATTTGGAAAGGCTCCCAGTGCCAACATGTTCACTTTTCTAACCAAGATTTCAATTCCAGCGCGTTCAGCTCTCGTAAGCTGCCAGCAGAGGGAAGAAGGGGGATCCGGACACTCGAGGGGGCTAATCCAGTCTGCAGTCGTTCAGCCGAGACCTGCCAGGGGAGACTGGGCAGCCCCCCAGCACAAGGGGCTGTGAAAGCAGAACAAGATGCGAGGCACAAAAAGAGTTTTTCCAGGTTCCTTTTTCCCAGAAAGGCGCATTAACCTCGCAACATCAGCCAGGGCGCAGCACAACCCCCGGA